CAGGTCCTTACGAGCTTCCCGCATGGATGCAGGGACCCAACGCCCTGGGCCGTTCTCTACTGCTTTCCCAGTTCATTAGCAGGAAGCTGGATTGGGAATAGAGTAGCCAGATCACAAACCAGTGCTCATATGGGATGCTGGCACTTGCAGGTGGAGGATTACCCAATTGAGCCATTGTATCAACCCCGATGATTCTTTTAAAAAGACATTTATTTATTTAAAAAGGAGAATTACAGAAAGAAGAGACAGTGAGATCTTCTGTATGCCTACTCACTCCCTAAGTGACCACAATGTCCAGGTGTGGGCTAAGCTGAAACCATGAGCCTAGAGCCCCTCACACATCTCCCACAGGGGTAACAGGAGCCGCCGCCTTCCACTGCTTTTCTAGATCCGTTAGCAAGGAGCTGGGTTGGAGGCAGAGTAGCCAGGACTTGAGCTGGCGCCATGGGGGATGCTGACTTTACAGGCAACAGCTTTACCCACTATGCCACAACACTTGTCCTTACATGACCTGTCAAAGTCCCCCACTAGTAATATATTTAATATATTGGAGCTTACCTCTTCCTTTAGAGCTAATGTATGTTTCGCAGCATCAGATGCATAAACAAAGATTACACATATTTTTGTTGAATCAGTCCCTTGAGTATTGTATAGTCTTTCCATTTTTAGTTTTTAAAATTTATTAATATAAAAGAACATATTTCATAGTTTTCCTTCCCCCTTCTCCCAATCTTTCTTTCCTCCTCCTTTAATCTTTGCAAAATGTAATTTCAATTCACTCTAATCAACAGGCAGAATGCAGCAGTAACTAATATTCAGCAAGGAAGACCGCGGTTCCACAGGAATTTAAATAAGGACTCAGGTGGGTTTTTTAAAAAAAGATTTATTTACTTTTATTACAAAGATATATAGACAGAAGGAGAGACAAGGAGGAAGATCTTCCGTCCACTGATTTACTTCCCAAGTGAGCAACAGCTGATCCAAAGGCAGGAGCCAGGAGCTCTTCCGGGTCTCCCATACAGGTACAGTATCCCAAGGCTTTGGGTCGTCCTTCCTCGACTGCTTTCTCAGGCCACAAACAGAAAACTGGATGGGAAGTGCAGCTGCCAGGATTAGAACCAGTGCCCATATGGGATCCTGGTGTGTTCAAGGCAAGGACTTTAACTGCTAGGCCATGGCACCAGGCCCTCAGGTGGGTTTTTAGCAAGTAGTAGTTGTCACAGACTGAGCATGGCCCAGAGGTGTGGGAAGGGATGCTGGGATGTGCACCATCGGCTGGTGGGTGGGTAGAAGAGGCTAAGGATTCTGGGGTCCCCAGCTAGTTCCTTCCAAAGCCCAGGGTCCCAGCCCAGAGCCCCCGACTCTATCTCGGCTACTTGCTCATGGTGGCTTGGCTCCTCCTCTGGGAAGGGGCTGGCTCCGCTGCCCCGGGGTAAGCTCTCCCTGGGGCCCTGGCAGGTGTTCAGCTCGGAAGCCACCTGGCAGAGCATCAGCAAGGCCCTGCACGTCCTGGGGGGCTCCTGAGATGACCCACTCCGGGAGACCTCCCAGGCTGCTCTGTTCCCAGCCAGGCCCCGTGCATCCCAGCAGTCCTTGCTGTCTCAGTGGACAGACCTGGTGAAGGCACCTGGGAGCAATGGCCACTCCCCCCATGGACTGCTGGCTGCAGCCCTGCAGGCCAGGAGGGTCAGGGTGACAGGCAGGGAGCCCAGAGGCCATGGTCAGAAGGGCGCAGAGCCTCTCAGTGTCTGGGATAGGCTCAGTGCCCCGTGCTTCTGCCTGGAGCTCCCAGCTCCCAGCACCTCTCCTGTAGGAGCCTAGTGGTCCATGGTGCCAGCTTGGCTGCAGGGGGCCGTCTTCAGTCCCCAGTGCTCGCATTTGGCCTGGGCCCTTTCTGGCCTGCAGTGTGATGATGCACAGTGGGTGACGGCGTGGGGGCATGGGCAGGGCAGCGGCTGCTCTGGGGAGACAGGTGTCACCCCGGAGCCAGGGAGAGTCTCCCCAGCAGTGGCTTGCCTCTAGTGTCATGGTTCCTCCCCAGGCAGGGAATGCTGATTCCAGGCTTGGGATCTCGGAGGGTAGGGACACCTGCAAGGCTGGTCATGAACGGAGGTGGGTCCCATGGGAGGCCGTGGCTGTGTGGCCAGCCGCCCGCCCCGGCCCGTGTTCCTGAGCCCTGCTCCCCACCCTGCTCCAGTGCATTTGGTCCTGTTGCAATGTCACCCCCTGTGCCCCAGGGGGCAGCTTCTGACCCTCACATTGCTGGCCACAGGGAACCAATGAGATTCTGCGGCTGTACATCGCCCTCACTGGACTGCAGCACGCTGGGCGCATCCTAACCGCGAGGGTCAAGTAGGTGCCATTCCCTCTGGAGCTCGGGTACACCTGCCCAGCAGAAGCCCACCTGGACACAAGGCAGGGACGAGACACCGTCTCCTGTGCTCACTCGTGGGGTAGTTATATCCTGGACTACCCTTAAGTCATGCATCAGAGCCTGGCCCTGCCCTGGGATGGAGGCGAGGTGCCGGCTGTCCTGGGAAGCCCTCATCGTCCAGATGTTGGAGTGAGACTGCCCTCCAGACCCTGGGAATCCCATCCTTCCCTCCCCCAGCAGTGCCTGTGTCCCACACTGGGGAGCTGGGTTCTCAGGAGGGGGTGGTGCCCCTTAGGCAGGGTGCCAGCCCTGAGCCCACCATTGACGGGGGGTCTGTCCTGTGTCCGACCCTTCTGCTCTTGCCTAGGAGCAGAAATCGCTGCTGGCAACCAGGCATGGGCGCTCACAGCATTTGGCCGACTTCTTAGCCATGAAGCTGGCTGTGCCCTGCACCCTGTAAGAGAGCAGATGGAGGACCCTGGAGGTGGCCCTTCTCTGCCAGCCTGTAGCCAGGCTTCTGAGGGGCCATCAGCACACATCGGGGTGCGGGACTGTGGACTTTGTGCTCTGAGCAGTCACACAGACCACTGGCTGGAGACCTCGAAACTCCCCCTCAGCTAACTGTGGACCTAGAGTTGATGGGCAGTCCTGGGGTCCTGCATCCTGGTCTCAAAGGATAAGTGGCCCAGCAGGTGCATCACGGGCCAGGAGTGTGAGTACAGTCCCATCTCCTGCAGGGAGAACATGCTGTGCTTTGCTGGACATCCACAAGGCTGTTGTTCAGCTTAGGTGAGCCTTGTGGGACTGCTCAGTCACCAGCCCCTGGACCAGTCAGGAAGCAGAAACCTGGATTCCCTGGGGGTCAGGTAGGGTGGGGAACACACTGGCTGTGTCTGCAGGGCCAGGGGAACCCCACCTGGGCTAAGTCCAGGAGCCCTCCGTGGGGTACACCCAGTCCCAACCTCTGGGGAAGACAGGAGGGGAAAGGCAGTGCAGGGACTGAGCCACTGTGGCCCCGGGCCCCCCAGGAGCAGTGTGGGGCCTGAATTCTCTGGCCGGCCAGCACAGCAGGCCAGCCCTCTGCACCGGACACGGGAACCACGATGCTCAGGGATGTCCCACGAGCACTTTAATGCAGTTGAGGGTGGGAAGGAAGGGGGGGTCCCTGGTTGCTGTGGCCCTGCAGGGGGCCCCGGGAGGCAGAGACAACGGGAGTCAAGGCTTTGATGTCCAGTGCTGGTGCCTGGGAGGGCGAGGCCCGGGCTGCGGCATGCGGGGAAGCCGGGCAGGTGCTTGGGGCTGCCGAGGGCCTCTGCTGCTCCGGTTCATCTCCTGCCTGAGAGAAGTGGGGGTTAGCGACAGGGGCCCAAGCTCAGACACTAAGCAACCTGCTCAGTGTTTGCACTGGGGCTGGATTATAACCCCAGACTGGGCTGCTGGGCCAGGCTGCCCTGCGTGGCTGACAGGCTGTAGTGAAGGGGTCGGGTTCTCAGCATCACCCGTGCCCACCTCGGTTCCGGCAGGTCCTGTTGGCCAACATGTTCTGTGTGGAAGCTCATCTCCAGAACCTCGCCAGCCTGTCTCAGCTGGACAAGCATGAGTGGGCAGCCACAGGGGAGAGGGCCCCACTCCGGGAGGGCGGGGTGGCAGCCGTCCCTGGGATCCGGGTCAGCCTGGGTTCATGGCAGCAGCGCCTGCCTGGCAGGGCACACACTGATGGGTCTGACCCCTCCCCGGAGCAGTTGTGGGTGGAGCAGAGGTGCCCACCCATAGCCGCTTGTGTGTGCTGGCCCTGCTGGGCAGGCCTGGCCGTGTCCTTGTGTCTGCCAGGGGTGTGTGGAGGAGGGTTTGGTGACACTGCACAGGCTCTGGAGAGAACATTTGCTCTGCTCCTCAGCCACTGCCCGGCTCTGCCTGCCTCAGGCTTGGGCCTTCCGTTTGTGGTGTCCCTCCTTCTTGCCAGCCCCATAGTGGACTGTGCAGCTCCCAGTCCCCTCCTGACCCCCGAGTCCTGTGGGCTGGGGGTGCTGGATCAGCGTCCTTGCAGAGGCCCCTCTGGGCCGGGCCTGGTGTGGGTGTCAGAGCAGCACAGGAGGTGGCCCTGTGGCACTCTCCGAGGTTAGTCCACAGAACAGCGTGGGCAGGAGGGGAAATACCGTTCCAAAGGCCCTGTGCGCATGCTTGGGGGCGTGGACTGCTGCCTCCCTCTGGCCACGGTGTGGATGGGTCTCCCTTTCTCTCCTGCAGTGTTTCTTCAATGTGGCAAAATAACCATGTTTCTGTCCATGAATTCCTGGGAGCTGGCACTAGGAGCCTGCCAGTGGGGCCCATAAGAGAGCCCTGGCACCCCTGGGTGGGCAGCAGCCAGCTGGAGCCTCAGCATGTCCCGGGCCAGCTGGACGAGGAGGGGCACCGGAGGCAGGCAAGGACTGGACCCCTGCTTACGTATCTCGTGTTGCTTTCTAGGAAGAACACTCTGGCCAGCCTTGGGGCTGAAACTCACTCCACATCTCAGAGTTCTCACCCATTAGCCTACCTCCGTGGGCTCTGTCAGCCTGCGAACGAACCACCAGAGTGGAAGAAGGGGGACCCGTTCCTTCCTGGAGAAGCAGCAGTGTCAGGAGATGGAGGGGTGCAGGAAGATCCCCATGAGGCCCAGGGATGCAGAGGCCAGCCAAGGACCACAGCATCATGTCTCACTGTCCCTATAACCCCCTGACTTGATGGGCAGATGCCTGACCTGGCATCTCAGCTGAGTGACAGGTGCAGCTCTCCTGAGCCCCCCCCCCGGACCCCACCTTGAGTTCTCAGCACAGCAAATCCAGACACCACTATACACACACGGCACAAAGTCCCTGGCAGCAGCAGCAGAAGCTCCAAGGGGCTAGGCCCACCTGTCACAGGCCCCAGTGCTACAGGTGGGGGCAGCTGGAAGAAGGGCGGTGGCTTCTTGTACAGGTCAAAGTCTAGGTGGCGCTGGTCCCAGCTCCATCTCTCTCGATCCAACACGGGCTTCAGCACGTTGGCGAACAGCGCGTTCTCCATCCACTCCTCGTCCAGCTCTCTGATGGGGGGCAGCCTGAGGCTCTCGGCTTGGCCAGTGCTGCCGCTCCGCAGGCCTGTCACCTGGAAGCCACTGGCCGTGAGCCAGGCCTGGCGGGACCGCTGCTCGGCTTGCTTCTTCTCCTCCTCCGAGTCCTGAGGCTCCACCGTGGCTGACAGGTAATTCTGGGAGTAAGTGAACCTCCTTCCTGGCTCCTGCAAACACGGGCAAACAGATCCACTTGGAAGGGCTGGCGGCCATGGGGATTGCAGGTGGGGTCAGAAGAGCTAGGGCGCAGTGTGAACTGTGCGATGACCCGTAAGGGGCCTCTTGCTTTCAGTGGAGCACCCGCTGGCTGTAAGGCTTCGCAGCTGTCTCTGGCCGTGGACAGCCAAGCATAGACACGCAGTCCCTTTGGTCACCCTTGGGTGCTGTCCCCAGTGCCGGACCCAGCCTGTTCCCAGGGTGCCTGCCTTGCCTCTGCACATCTGAGTCCTAGGAGAGGACGGAGCTTGCCAGACATGCCACCCGCCAGTGTCCCGTCTCTCACCTTGGCCATCTCCTTGTACAGCTCCTTCTTGGCAAGCTGGGCAGAGTTCAGGGTCTGAGTGCTGTAGTTGTAGACAGCCTGGTTGGCCGGAGCAGAAATTCTGATCACCTTCACTGCCGACTTTGGGGGCCTCCTGCCGGCTTGGCGAACTTCCTGGATGTTTTTCTGCGGAAAGAGACCCCAGTCCTTACCTGTGCTGGTCCCCGCCACTTCACCTGGCAGCTCTGGTGCAGGGAGCTGGGGCACAGCTGCAGAATGGGCACTGATGGGCACTGAATCCTGGTGCTGTGCATCACCCTAGGGCCTCGCCCAAGGTCCCTGCTGTTGGAGCTCACGGCACAGGCCCCATCCTTCCTTTCAGCTGCTAGAGACCCCCAGCTAGGAGGCCAGCGAGGCAGAGGCTTTCTTGGGGCTCTGCCTCTGAGGAGGAACTCGCACAGTTCCCCCCTCAACCCCACCTTGAGAGAGAGAGCGCCACTTGGGAAGCCAGAAGCCCCAGTCAATCCCCACCCCAGCAGAGCAAGTCTGACCCATGCACCCAAGCCCGTGTCCCACGCCTGCAGGGGCTGGAAGAGCAGGGGGTCCTGATCCATGGGGGCACTTGGTCCCTGCATTGGAGGCCCAGTGCCTCCACCTTTGTCCTCCCAATGCTGCTGGGAACAAGGATGAGAGCCCCACTGCCACTTTCATAGCAGGGAGCCTGCAGCCTGGCAGATGGAAAGATGTGACCACTGGCAGAGGATTAGGGACACTGGGCAACTGCATGCCAACAAATCGGAAAATGTAGACGTTCCTGGACACACAGAACGTACCACGAAGACCGAAAACCTGAACCAGTCCGCCCTGGGTAACGAGACTGAATTGGCACTGAAAGTGCCCCAGCAGAGCAGGACTCAGGCCTGAGGGTCTCGTTGTGGGGTCCCCGCCCCAAGTTCCACTGAAGAACTGACACCAATGCTTCAACAGTCCCAGAAATCCAACATGAGGCAACCTTTCCAAACTCGTCTTTCTGCAAGGTCAGCATTACAGTGCCATAATCAGACAAGGACACACACACACAGAGTCAGCATTACAGTGCCAGAACCAGACAAGGACACACACACACACACACACGATCAGCATTACAGTGCCATAATCAGACAAGGACACACACACACACACAGTCAGCATTACAGTGCCATAATCAGACAAGGGGACACACACACATACACACACACACACACACGGTCAGCATTACAGTGCCATAATCAGACAAGGACACACACACACACACAGTCAGCATTACAGTGCCAGAACCAGACAAGGACACACACACACACACACACGGTCAGCATTACAGTGCCATAACCAGACAAGGGGACACACACACACGGTCAGCATTACAGTGCCAGAACCAGACAAGGACACACACACCCACACACACACACACACATACACCCCTGTGACTGCAGCAAAACTTCTCAAGGAAGTACCAGCTCAATTTAGCAGTGTATTAAAAATATTCCTCCCAGGATCAGGTGGGATTTATCCTAGGGCTGCAAGGGACAGCTCACCATATGGAAATAAACTATGTAAAACAAGGTATTAAAAAATAAAGGTATTAGCAGAATAAAGGATAAAATGAAGAGATGTTAAAAAAAAAAGCTCTAGAAAATAACCAACACCCACTCCTGATTAAATCCTGAGTAATGTTTATATAGAAGGGCCTTATACCAACAAAATAAAGGCTGCATGCGACAGACCCACAGCTTTTCATGGGGGGAAATCAAAGCATTTTGTCTAAGTTCTGGCACTACAAAAAGACCTAACACTCCGGGCCGTACTGAGGTGTAGCACGCTAAGCCGCTGTCTGCGGTGTGGGCATCCCATGCAGGCACCACACAGTCACGGCTGTGCCACTTCTAATCCAGCTCCCTGCTGCTGCGCCTGGGGAAGAAGCAGAGGACGGCCCAGGTTCTTGAGCCTCTTTACCCGCGTGAGACCCAGAAGCAGCTCTGGGCTTCCACCTGACATCACGGTCATTTGGAGAATGAAACAGCAGATAGAAGGTTCTCTCCCTCTACACTTCTGTGCAAATAAATCCATCTGAAAAGAAAAGGAGCGTGAACTCTCATGGCTTTAACTGAAATGTGATAGAAATCTCTGCACCACAACAATTAGGCGAGAGAAAAGGCACAAAAAGGTGCCATAATCCCCCTGCTGGCAGATGTTGGTATTGCAGGAAGAGGCTTAATCCCTATGCTACACTATCAGCCCTGAAAGAACTACTTTTTATTATTTTTAAAAGATGTATTTATTTAAAAGGCAGAGTTAAAGAGACAGGGATGTGCTCTGTACAAGGGTTCACTCTGTACAAGACTGCAATGGCCAGAGTTGTGCCAGACTGATGCCAGGAACCTGGGGCTTCATCTGGGGGTGTCATGTAGGCTCAGGGGTCCACACACTTTGGCCATCTGCCGCTGCCTTTCCAGGCACGTTAGCAAGGACCTGGACTAGAGGTAGCGCATCGAGGATTCAAACCGGTGCCCGAATGGGACGTCAGGGAAGCAGGCATTGGCTGAACCCATACCAGCACAGCGCCAGCCCTGGTCATTTGTTTTGTTTTTAAATGCCGTGTGGGGTTAAAGGAAGCACATAGTGTAAAGCAGCACAGGCATTGTGGAGAATGGTAGGAAATTCCTCAAAAATGCCAGACCTCGTGTGTGATCCAGCCATCCCACTTCTTTGGGCATCTTGCCAAAGGAAATGAGCCCCTCCACGCGCTGCCCACACCCCCACGCTTACTGCAGCCCGACACATAAAGCGTGGACTCAACCTTGACGTCCGACAGGTGACAGAGCAACTGACGGGTGTACGTTCACAGCGGCAGGTTCGCTGTCAGAGTGAGTCATCCGCAGCACGTGGACGGGACGGGGGCGCCGGGGGGAACGTCACGCTACGGGAAACACGTCAGCCACAGAATGACAGATTTCACTCATGGTGTCTCGTGTGGACGTTCAAGGGGAAAGCTCCCTCTGTACAATAGCCCCAGCGGGCACCGAAACAGCCTTGGACAGGAGCAAGCTCCGGCGCCCCGCCGCACTGCAGGGTGACCAGTGTCCACAGCCACACATGGTTTTGATTAAACAGAGTCCAAAGCCTCCAACAGGAGATGGAACTACCCCGACTCAAGCAGAACACATTTTACACTTGTCCTAAAATATCACACTGTGCCCATACATGTTTGCAATTCCCATGTATTCAAGAAGATTCTTGGGCCAGCACAGTGCCTAAACAGGCTAAGACTCTGCCTGCCAGCGCTAGCATCCCATATGGACACTAGTTCGTGTCCTGGCTGCTCCACTTCCTGATCCAGCTCCCTACTTGTGGCCTGGGAAGGCAGTGGAGGACGGCCCGAGTCCTTGGGTCCCTGCACCCATGAGGACATGCCTGGCTCCTGGCTTCAGACGGCTCAGCTCTGGCCATTGCAGCCATTTGGAGAGCGAACTAGTGGATGGAAGATCTCTGGCTCTCCTTCTCTCTGTAAATCTGCCTTTCCAATAAAAAGAGATAAGGAGATAGGAACTCTAACCTAATTTCATCTTTAATGTATGTGATACATGTTATCAAATCATACTGTGCTCCAAAAATATGTGCGATAATGAAAATATTAACTCATGAATAAATGCACTGTATTCCTGCACAACTGGAAGTGGCGAGGCGGTAAGGTAAGGAATATTCTATTGCTCAACCTTCTAACAGGCACATACTTGGATCTGACTTCATAATTTAGAAGAAATTTAAGGCACATAACGAGAACATACAGTGCATATTATCCTGTGTTGAACAGGGCCAAGGATGTACATAAAGGAAGGCTCACAGCTCTAAATGTCAGCATTGCTCATGGGAAAGAACAAAAGCCAAGCAGCCAGCTCAGCTGGTACCTTCTGTCCAAGGTAACGATGGAGGCTGAAGGCGATGAATGGGAGACACGGGAAGTGCCGAAGTGAGAAACCCAAGAACTGCTGTTTGTGGAACACTTGCCCTGGGTGTGTGTGCAGGGGAGTGACGGCCCAGGGGCCCCGGTGCCCAGCAGAGAGAGGCCCACCTGGATCAGGCTGAGCTTGTGGCCTTCCTTCTGCAGCAGCACCGCGTTCCGCCACTGCAGGTACTTCCGCTGGTGGGCGTGGATCTCGGTGGAGAGCGTGGAGGTCCGGCTGCGGAAGTGTTCCAGATTGGGGCTGGGCTGGGGCGGTGTGGCCAACAGCGCCTCCTCCGAGAATCCTTCTTGGGTGATGGGGATCCCAAACTCCTGGCTCAGGTCTCTGATCATGGCCGAGGAGGGCAGCAGGTCGCCCACGATCACGTCCCTGAGCCTGGTGCTGTTATAGCAGATGTCATAGATCCTGCAGGGGAAGAGGAGCCAGCCACTCAGCCTCACCCGCCTGGCGAGGGGTGCCACAGTGGAGATGGGAACACCGGGGTGCCAGGCAGAAGAACCGATCCTGGTCTGATGAGCCTGAACTCAGAGCAAACTCTCTCACCATCTCCCTCCTGGCCCTGGAAGCCAGGTCCCCTCACATCTGTTCTGGGACAGTCCTTACCCAGGCTCCCCAGCTGTCCCACCAAGCTGTCCACAGCAGTGCGTGTGGATCTGGGAGCCTCCTGTGTGGGGGACAGGGGACACGCACGACCCCTCACTTCTGACCCCACTTCCCCCAGCCACGAGAACACTCACAACATGAGCGCACATGGGAGAGATGGTCTCTGGTTTCCATAGACGGCATACCAGTGCCTGCCAGTGTCATTCCACCTCCCCCATCTGAGGGCTGGCCCGGGGCGCCCTCCCCAGGCCCTGGCCCATGGATCGCGTCCAGCACACACACTCCAGGACTGCCCGCTGCCGCTGTGTTGGGGTGCCCAGGATTGGGCCTGCCTGTCCCTGTTAGAGCTAGGGAGGGCGATTGGGGGTGTAGGCATGGTCTTCCCAGCCCTGGCTGGGCTGCCTCCTCCTCTTCCTCTTGAGCGGAAAGTTCAAGCAGGGATCCACGGGGTCCCCCTGATACTGGCTTTAAAACTGCAAAGACAGGGCCTGCGGACCCTGCACACCCACATGGGAGGCCAGGAGTAAGCTCCAGGTTCCTGGCTTTAGATAAGCTCAGCTGTAGCCACTGGGGCCATGTGGGGAGTGAACCAGCAGATGGAAGATCTTTCTGTCTCACCCTCTTTTTCCCTTTTCAATAAAATAGTCTTAAAAAAAAATACAAAGATAGGGCTTGCACCTCCAGTCCCACACAGAGCTGCCCCAGCTAGCTAGCTGTGCCTCGAGGTCCTGCCTTCCTCCTACAGCGGGGGCAGGACCTGCCCCTCAGCATGCCACCAACTGTCACTGTTCAATGACTGTTCCACTGAGTCATGGCGTGGGAGCGTGCTCTCGGCATCAGAGCCAGAAATGGGAAACCCTCAGGAAGCGCAGCTGAGCCAGCCTGGCTGGCATTGCCCTCCCGCGCTCCCTCAGGTCTCTGGGAAAACAGGCTATAACCCCCATCCCACGCCACACACTCTCGTCCAGCCAGAGGCGGCAGCAGCAGGCGGCAGCAGTCAAAGGCACGTATGGGAATGACCCTGCCTTCCTCCTCCTATGGGGAAGTGCCTAGAACCATCGGTCACAGACCACACCTGCACAGGGGCCCCCTACACCTGGCAGGGAGCCTCCCCCACACCTGCACAGGGGCCCCCCACACCTGGCAGGGAGCCTCCCCCACACCTGCACAGGGGCCCCCCACACCTGGTAGGGAGGCTCCCCCACACCTGCACAGGAGCCCCCCACGCCTGCACAGGGCCCCCCACACCTGCACAGGAGCCCCCCACGCCTGCACAGGGCCCCCCATGCCTGCAGGGCCCACCTGGCCAGCGCCCGGAAGACGCTCCTGGGCACCTGGCGACGCACATAGAGCGCAGCCTGCCGCATGAGCAGCGACAGCGGCTTGAAGAGGTGCACCTGGCACAGCAGGGTGTCCAGGTCCCCGTAGAGGCGGCAGCGGAAGCGCAGCTGCGAGTTGTATAGTACCTTGTATCTTCCCTTCTCTGTCTCAGGAATTCTGCAAGAGAAGCGGGAGGGCGTCAGGCTTGACCTCGCTCTGCTCCTCTGGGTCCGAGCACTGGCTGCCTTCACCAATATCCACCGCCCCAGCCCTGGTTACCAGCAGACCACAGGCTCACGAATCAGGCGGGGAGAGAAGTGTCAACACCCGAGGCCTGGCGGGGCGGAGGGGACCGTGAGGGCTCCCACCCTGCCCTGGCACTCTGGCCGCTGTGACTGCTGAGCCAGGGCGCACCCTTCCCACCCCCACAGTCTGTGCGTGCCCTGGCGTCCCCAGCCAGGACTCTGTCCTGTCACAGCCCTTCATGCCTGCGATGCACACCCATGTCCCACCCTTCCATGGAGATGTGTCTGTTGTTTTCATATCAAATCACAGGCTTTTCATGTGTTTAAGATACTCTTTGTTCCACAGATTGTATGTAACTTGTTTGTGGTTCCTCTTGTCACAATTTTAGGTACCTTTATCAAAACAGAAGTTATGCAGTTTAACGAAGCCAACTCTATCATTCCTTTCACTTACATCCCACTTTCTCTACTCTGAAGTGATGAAAATCTATAATACCATCTAGCAGTTTTGTCAGTTTGCTGTATAAAAATAGATTTATATGCCCAGCACAATGGCTCAATTGGCTAATCCTCCACCTTACAAGTGCAGGGATCCCATATGGGCACCAGTTCTAATCCCAGCAGTCCCATTTCCCATCCAACTCCCTGCTTGTGGCCTGGGAAAGCAGTCGAGGACGGCCCAAAGCCTTGGGACCCTGCACCTGCGTGGGAGACCTGGAGAAAGCTCCTGGTTTCGGATCAGCTTAGTTTCGGCCGTTGCGGCCATTTGAGGAGTGAACCAACAGACGGGATATTGTTGTCTGTCTCTCCTTCTCTGGAAATCTACCCTTCATCAAACCAAAGGTCTTCTACAGCAGAAACAATAAAGAGATGATGTACAGGAGAAAGTGCCTGTAAGCTGTACATGTGGTGAGGAATCAGGAGCTGAACATAGAAGGAACTCAACCCAGTAGACAACACCAGCATATTCCCATCTTAAAATGGGCCCATCGTAAAGCAACCTTACACACAAGTGGCCAACAGGTACCTGACAAAACGCTCAATATCACCCACCGCTGAGGATATGCAAATCAAAACCACAGTGAGACTCCACCTCCTGTCAGACTGGCTGCTGTGAAAAGGACAGAAGCCAACAGGTGCGGGGGCCAAGGGCGTGGGCAGCCAGGCATCCCTGGGCCCTGTTGGTGAGACAGCCCGAGGTAGGCATGAGAGCAGAACTGACACAGGGCTGTCCAAGGGAGGTGAAACCCACCCTGCCGACACACACCGGCACTTACTGAGGCCGGAGAATGGAAACCACCTCAGTGTCCAGCAATGACGGAGGACAGTGGCACAAGCCGCTCAGCCACGGCCAGGATGGAGCCTTGCTGTCCACACCAACACGAACAGGCCCCCCACCGGGGGCCTAACGGGCATGACAAGTGCCACGCGATCTCACACGCTCGTGACGTCCCGCCGACACCGATAACCGCAAGTCCAGATGGCTCTGGCTTCCTCTGCTTAGCATAACCATTTCCAGGATCTCCCAACAATCCCCCGTGTCCACATACCACATTCTGTTTATCCGTTCGTCACTCAACGCACGTTCAGGTTCTTTCCACCTTTTGGCTACTTATAAATTATGCTTTTTTAAAAACTTATTTTTGTTGGAAAGAGATTTACAGAGAGAAGGTAAGACAGAGGGAAAGGCATTCTGTCTGCTGATTCACTCCCAAAATGGCCGCCATGGCTGGAGCCGAGCCGATCCGAAGCCAGGAGCTTCTTCCAGGTCTCCCATGAGTGTGTCGGTTCCCAAACTTTGAGCCATCCTCTACTGCTTTCCCAGGCCACAAGCAGCGAGCTAGAAGGGAAGTGGAGCAGCCAGGACAGGAACTTGGCATTCGTAGGGGACCCTAGGCGTGCGAGGTGACTATTTAGCCACTAGGCTATTGTGCCAGGCCCCATAAGTTACACTGTTGTGGCGCTCAGAAATGGAGGGAAAAAACCTCTGAAGATGAGTCTACACTAAGTCCAGTTGCTGGCCCCTCTGGCACAGCCAGCCTCCAGTCTGACCTCCTCGGGGTTACCATCCTCGACATGACCCTACCAGCTGCATCACAGAGCACCCACACCACGGGGGCAGAGGGCAGAGGCCACGCTCCCCTGGGGTCAGATGCCCCCCAGATGTCAGAAATTCAACTTTGGAAGGTACACAGTGCAATTGTCTCCAGCGCGTTCACAATGGCAGCTTGTAATTCCAGACCCTTCCTATCACTCCAGGAAGCAGCTCTTAATCCTTATCCACTGTGCTTCCTTGGTGGGCTCCCCAGGGTCCACACTGACACCTGGTCTGTGTCTCTTTCCAGATCTGCCTAGTCTGGACACCGAACAGAGACGGCATCTTACGACTTGCAGCTTTTCGCATCCATCAGCACGAGGCTTTCGCAGTTTGCCCGGGCTGCTAAGCAACATCCCCTCAGTGGATACGAGTCATCTCCTACTAACGGCACTTGGCTTCCTCCCTCATCTTGCTTTCAGTCTTGCTGACCGCTGGGGTACAGCGCCCTGAGTGGCCATGCTTTCAGTTCTCCTGGACACAGGGTGTCAGGCCAGCTTCTCCCTGGAGCTTCTCAGCACATCAGGCCAGAAACCCACAGCCTGCAACAGCCTCCCAAGCCGGCCAATGCTACTTCCGCCTGCTCTGCTCTCAGCAGCTAAGATCAAGGCACACCTGCAGCGTGAGGACGGATTGGGCCTTCCACCCTAAAGGAGGGGACTCTGCTTACCCTGACCAGGACACCCGCACGGCTTCAAGCAGCCTCTCTGCTCCCCACCCCTCATCCATCTGTCACTTGCATGCAAAACTCAAAGCCAACCACCTACCGGTGCTGAAGGTTCTCCCACAGCTGCCTCAAGCCCTGGTCGGCCAAGCCTTCCAGAACAAAGAGGTGGAGCTCGCCGTCCAGCAGGTGGAAGCCGGTGAGCACGTTCAGCTGCTGCTGCTCCTGGATCTTCACCCGCATCCTGAAGGTGGACAGGACCTGCTGGATGTTCCTGATGGGGCAGGAGCCCAGCTCCAGGGCCTGGGCGTTAATCACGGTGATGTCCTGAAGCACGTTCTGCAGCAGGAGTGTCTTCCTGTGGTCAAACAGGATGATGATGCGGCCGAACGGGGGGCCCTGGAGGTCGGGGTCAGCGGTCCCTGCCCTGAGTGGCACCGTGATGTCTACCCGAAGCTTTAGCTGGGATCCAGCATCCAGGTAGTTGCCCATGGGCATCGGGCCACGGCGGAGGCCATCTTTGGGGACCCGGAAGCCCCCAACCTTCCTGAGGCTGCTGTCTTCCACAGGGTCTATGAGCTTGGGCTCACAGCTGTGGATGGGGACATCCAGGGCCAGGAACCTGTGGCCCAGAAGGAGGTCGGCAAAACTGACCTGGGCCACCCCGTACGGGTCCCACAGCTTGTGCCTGGATTTCAGAGGATTGACCTCCGTCTCCTTAGGGGATATCACAGCAGGCAGGTTGAGGGACATATCCAGGGGGTCCTCCCCAAACACGCTGGGCTTCTGCAAGTAGTCCTCGGACTTGCGGTCACGGTCATGAACTTCCACCACCATGGGGGGGCCTTCCAGGTACTCCCTCAGGTCACTGGGGTGCATCCCGCCGAGGAAGACGACGTTGATGTCCTGGAAGTGAATGTGGGTGGCATGGGGCTCCCCCTCAGTCTTGTGAACCGGGGCATCATGGAACTGATACTTGCAGTACACAGGCATGCACAGCCTCTAGGGGAGACAGGGTGGCAGCAGGTCACCTGGCTGTGGCAGTGCTCGCTCTCCTCCCGCTTCTCCCCAGGAACAGGCGCTCCCACGGGAGCTGTGCACATCCCACTGCCACGCTTGCTGCCGCGGCCCTGGGAGCCCAAGGACCTCAAAACCAACAGGCCCCCGAACACCCACGGTGCCAGCTGGTTCTGGGACTGCCTGGCCTCATGCACGTGAAAGCACCATGGTGGCTGGCAGGGGATGAGGTCAGGACTGGGCGCTGGTGTTTCTGTGCAGGCAGACACTTCATGGGACATGGAGTCCAAAGGTAAGCTTGTTTCAGTGCCAAAAAAAAAAAAAATTGAAATGTAAGCGTGGTTTTTCCATACTGTGCATTTTCCGGACACTTTTTGAAGACTCTTGGTGTGTCTACTGACTGGCAGAGAACAGTTTAAAATAGAATTTTTAGATGACCGTTTACATTCATATAAAAAAAAACAAAGCTTTTAGGAAGAAACTAAATGAAAGTTAACAACTCCAAAGCACGGCAGAGAGAAGTGAGGAAGGCTCTGATAGAGAACCAGACCGCTGCTGTGGCCAAAATACACAACACAAAGCCAAACACTAAAGCCGGAATTACAATCAATCTACGAGAAAACATGGTGTGGGGGTCTCCATAAACCTGGGGCGAAGGAAGATTTAACAGGATGCCATAAATACTCCTAACAGAAACAGCTGGTAAACCAGACTCCATCAACAATACCAACTACAGAACTGAAGTTCACACAGGAGAAAGACCTTAGGACGGAACCCTCTCTATGTGTACATGAACATACATGCACATGCGTGTGCTAGGATCTGAATGTGTCCATCTAATATGTATACGTTAAATATAAATGCCTCATGTGACAGTCCCCTGGGAGAGGACCGGTCACAGTAACCCGCCCCCCAGATGGGACCAGTGTCCCTACCGAAGGGACACAGCCAGCCAGCTCCCTCCACCCGCTACGCTCGAGGAAGGGGCTCTCGGCAGGCCCTTGGCTTTGGCCACCTCAACCCCAGCGGCATGAGAAACAAATGTGTTTCACAAGCTACTCATTTTACAAGATCAAGCAGATGAGATATGTGAAACACAAAGGACTCGCATCCAGAATACAAAAACAGAACGCCTGCAGTCGGTAACGAAGACAATGAAAACCAGCGACAGAGGAGCTTTCAAACGCGGCCGAGCGGAATGAGCGTGCATCACCTGCCTCTCCAGGACAGAACTGGTGGGTGGCTGAGGGCGAGGCCCGCGGAGGGCCTGGCGCAGCAAGGCATTTCCTGGGCCTGAGTTCCCCCTTTATGCTCAGGATGGCACTCACAGGATGACCGAATCCTCAACACAGTACCAGGCGTGGACATGTGCAGCCCCAGAGAAGCCCTCTACTGCCGACCAACACCCTGTGAACAGACAGCACGAGGCATTCATCGCCACTGCTTCCTGTTCCCGGCCCTGCCCTTGGGGACGTCCAATATCCAAAAGTACCTCTTGGTGGCTGAGAGCAGCCAGGCAAGTGCCTAGGACTCTTCTGTCCATATGCCCACCCCTCAGCCTCAGACACAGGTCCCGGGTCAGGAGTCCAGGGCAGAGTGGGAACCAAGAAGCCACAGCCGTTAGCCCACTCAGCAGCCCAGAGAGCTGGCAGACGCAGTGGGCGTGGCAGACAGGAGAGAAACAAAGACGGGCTCCCACGAAAGAACGTGAACACGCAATGGACAGACCTGCTCCAACACAGCGCGCCAGAGGCCTAGCGAGCGGAGCCCTGGAGCAATGTCCCCAAGAAAGACACCTGCAGGACACAGCAGGGACATACCAGCACTGAAAAACCACAACCGCTCCAACCTGTGACCCAGCGCCCCACGGCCAGGGACCGAGGGCAACGAGACAGTGTGACAAGCGGAACCTGCACGCCTGTGCCCACTGCAGCTCCATTCATACCAGCCGAGCTGCGGCCGGCCGTGGCTGAACGGGTAAAGAAAGGGTGTGGTGTGCAGGCAATGGAACAGCGCGCAGCCGTGACACAGAAGGACATTCTGACATCTGCAGGCAGACAGAATTGGGGTCATCACGGTAAGGGAAGTCAGACAGAGGAAGACAAATAGTGCATGTTGCAGGCCGCACCGACAAAAAGTCAATCTGCTCTTAGAACAGCGGAGAACAGATCTTACGGCGGACAGATTTCAGTGTTCCACAGCACAGCATGGGGACCGTAAGTCACAGTAAGATAGTCTGTGTCATACACAAAATTAGAAGAGGGGAGCTGGTAGACTCCAAATGTAAAGTTAAGGAAATGAGGGCCTGGTGCAGTAGCCTACTGGCTAAACTCCTCGCCTTGTATGTACCTGGATTCCATATGGGCGCCGGTTCTAATCCCAGAGACCCACTTCCCATCCAGTTCCGCTTGTGGCCTGGAAAAGCAGTTGAGGATGGCCCAAAGCCTTGGGACCCTGCACCCGCGTGGGAGACCCAGAAGCTCCTGGCTTCGCATTGATTCAGCTCTGGTCCTTGCAGCCACTTGGGGAGTGAATCAGCAGATGGAAGATCTGTCTGTCCTCCTCTCTGTATATCTGACTTTCCAATAAGAATCAATAAATCTTTAAAAAAAAAAGTTAAGGGGATGAAAATGCTTGATTTGGTTAATTTATACAAAATAAATGGGTTGAAATATTACCCATAAAAATGTGCAAGCATTAGGGCTGGCACCATGGTTCAACAGGTTAACCTGCCACCAGCAAATACCAGTATCCCATATGGGTGCCGGTTCTAATCCTGGCAGCTCCACTTCCCATCCAGCTCCCTGCTTGTGGCCTGGGAAAGCAGTCGAGCACGGCCCAAAGCCTTGGGACCCTGCACCCGCGTGGGAGACCTGGAGGAAGCTCCTGGCTCCTGGCTTCGGATCAGCTCAGCTCCGGCTGTTATGACAATCTGGGGCGTGAACTAGCAGATCTTTCCCTCTCTGTTTCTCCTCCTTTGTAAATCTACCTTTCCAAGAAAAATGAGTCAATCTTTTTTTAAAATGTGCAAATATTATGTTAAGTCAATATTTAAATTTAAAAAATCTACTGTTGATAAGACAAAACGGAATACTAGAACAATGTTCAAAAGACTCACAGTGTAACAGGAAAAATAAAATGAACAAAAAAAAATGTTAAAGAACAGTTAGAAAACAAATAGATGAAAACGTCAGACTAAATGTAAACGCTGCAAAGGGGCCAGACGACTCAGGGGCTTCATCATGACTGGGGGACAACACAGGGCCAGCGCCAGCCGGTCTCCGCTGAAGGCCACATCTCCATGACTTTGCCATACCCAGCGTAGCTAAGCACCAGCAACGGACGAATTAAAGCAGAAATTCCTGGTCTAGCATTTCTGAAGCCTGTCAGTCCGGAACCAAGCTGCTGGCAGCGCCTCGGCCCCCTGCAGGTGCCGGGCAAGCTTCCTGGTTCGACCTCTGGAAGTTGTGCCTCAGAAGAAGCACAGGCGAAAGAGGAAGAGACAGGATGCAGACAGGGAGGGCTCAGCCCGGCGCTCCCAGAGGCCGGCGACCCCCACTGGAAAAGCACCTGGGGTGTCAGCTGCCCCCTCAGCCTCAGCCCTTCCTACCCGCAGCTCTCACTGCCTCCTGAGGGACCCTGGGTGGAGAGATGTGCATGACCGTCCTGGCTGCGTGGGGCTTAGGGAGGGCTAGAGGTACATGGGACCTGGGGGGCTGGGGTGGGGACGGGCACCTGGCTGTCTGCCTCTCACCTCCAGCTCATGGATGGGCACGGGCTGTGCCGGCAGGCAGGATGCACACTCGATCTTTATGATCAGGGGGTTCAGGTCCTGCTTCTGCTCCTCGGTCATGAGGGGGACTTCCGCCCGCAGCGTCAGCAGACAGTCCAGGATGTGGGCTGACTTCTCGCTGCCGCGGCTCATGACGGTCTGCCGTCCTGCTGGGAACACGCACAGTGTGAACCCTGGAAAAGTGCAGAGTGGTGGGAGGGCCGGGGATGGGGCGAGCCCCCAGGGAGAGGGCGACCCACAGTTCCTCAGAGGGAGCGCCCTTCAGTTCTCCAGGTGATTTAATGCTATTCTGCAGCAGCAAGCACTGGGAGCATTTCCAGCATCCCCTGGGACACAAGGAATGCTGAAGCACCGGGGCCACCCAGCCTAACCAGACCTCTCCACTGGGAATGTGAAAGCTCTCCTGGGGATTCCAGAACCCTCTACCAGACCCTCGCTGTGCACTCTGGCAGCCACTGGCCACCTGGGGCTCCAGGGACTTACACATCATTTAGGGTACAGCTCCTTCATGGCATGAGATGCACCCCCAGTGCTCAGTATCCCTATGTGCCCAAGGTCACGGCTGGGGTCAGCACAAAAGGCGTGAGGGTGGGAGCAGGGCTGGGCTATTCCAAGCTGTTGTGTTCACACCAGTCAGCACGAGCCAAGTCCTGCCAGCATGCGCACTCGGAGCCAGCAGTGTGGCCCCAGGGACACGGAACAGACCTGTGCATTGCACCCAGCAGTGTGGCCCCAGGGACACGGAACAGACCTGTGCATTGCAGCCAGTGGTGTGGCCCCAGGGACACGGAACAGACCTGTGCACTCGGAGCCAGCGGTGTGGCCCCAGGGACACGGAACAGACCTGCGCACTCGGAGCCAGCGGTGTGGCCCCAGGGACACGGAACAGACCTGCGCACTCGGAGCCAGCGGTGTGGCCCCAGGGACACGGAACAGACCTGCGCACTCGGAGCCAGCGGTGTGGCCCCAGGGACACGGAACAGACCTGCGCACTCGGAGCCAGCGGTGTGGCCCCAGGGACACGGAACAGACCTGCGCACTCGGAGCCAGCGGTGTGGCCCCAGGGACACGGAACAGACCTGCACATCAGTTGAGCTGCAAAGGCCCCAAGTGCCGGAGCTTCTCAGATTTTGGAATCTTTGCATCAGCTTGGCCAGGAGAACATCCCTAAACCTAACCTTACAGCACAGATACACAAAGCCCTCCTGTGGAAGGTCACTTGCCATCTCGGGTTAGACACATGTGTCCTGGCTTTGGCTCTGGCAGACACACCCGGGGAAAAACAGAATTGCAGTGTAAAGCAGCTGGAGAAACCTCACATCCCAGAGCTGCCTCTCAGCCACATGCACATCAGAGCCTTTCCGAGGCTCATGTCCCCACATGCAATGTGGGGACAGAGCTTCCTGTCCAGGGGTAAGGGGACGAGATGACCACAGAGAGGTGCCAGAACGCTGCCCGCTACAGCACGTGCCCACCCGGGTTAGCCCTGCCCCTTCCTGCACTCCAGGACACACAGAGCTGCAGTGCTCAGGCTTGGTACTGCTGCTCACACAGCCATGAGCAGGCTGTGACTCTGCACAAGGCGCTCTGGCCCCACCATCCTCTCCCATAAGGCGGAGTCTCTGACGGATGGCCAAATGCGAGCTTCGTCCATGGCTGTGAGCTCTCCCAGGGGACGGGGAACCCCCAGCACACACAGGGCCCCGATCCGCACCCAGAATCAGAAGTTGTCAGCCCTGAGGCTGGGCAGCAGTGCCCGGCTCAGGACTGACAGCTCAGTGCAGCCCACTTCACAGCAGCAGCACCCCACTCACAGGGCTGATGCTGGAATTGCCTCCACTCTGCCCAGGGTGCCCTGGGGGATGGGATGCCCAAGCTGAGAGGGACACTTGTGCAGCAGCTGGGCGCGAGCACACATCACTCAGTACCCCAAAACTGCCTCACCTGGCAGCTGTCATCTCCACCTTCCAGAGGGGAAGAGCCCCAGCAGGGTCGGGAGGCCCTTCTCCCACCCCACCCTTGCAGCTGCCAGCTTCAGCCAGCTCTGAGCCCTGCCCCATGTAGGTCTGTGCCAGGCAGCCACACACTCTGAGCCTCAGGGAGGGAAGGAAGGAGATGGGGGGAGGGGGGTATCACCATCTCCATGGGATGGATGAGGCAACAGGCTCAGAAAGAACACGTGATCTGCAGTTTGGTCACCGAGTCTGCTTGTCACCAAGGTCCTGCACCCATGGAACACTGCAAAGCTGGGACAGCACAGGTGGGGAGGGAGGTGGCCTGGACACATCCTGGCTTCACTGGGTGGCAGCCCCGTCGGGCAGCCAAGGCCCCTGGGGCGGAGGCAGCCCAGAGATATAACAGGGAAGGCTCCATGAACTCCCTACGGCAGATGACAGGAAGCACCTGCCACGGCTCTGGCCCAGAGCAGGAGCACAGGGTGCTGTGCAGGAGACAGGAGTGCCCGGGGCACAGCATGGCCCTGGGCAGCAGCCTTGGGAAGTTCACACACACACACAGGGCCGTGTCCAGAAACGACGTGGATGCCACTCCCAGGCCAGGGAAGGCAGCCTGAGAGGATCCCTTCAGTGCAGACTAAACAGTACCTGCTCGGGACAGACCGACATGGCCACAGGAGCCAGTGAGGGTGCCTGCCTCCCGACCCTGCTGGGCGAGCCTGGCACTCCGACTTCAGGAGACTGACTTGCACCGCGGTTTACCCTGCCAAAGGCCAAAGGCCAAAGCCTGTGCCTCTGAGGAAGAGCCAGCAGGGGGCACACATCCAACCTGATGCTCAAAAAGTGACTGGACACTCTTAGCCAACAGGACAGGAGCACTTCCTCCTTAGTTCCCATTTTAAAACGAAATCATGTACTTCTACCCAAAATGTACTCACGTAAGTTTATCTCAAATATGCTCTGAGCTTTCCATCATCAAACCATGCGGCCTGGCCACAACCTTTCACCAGAAGATGGGCAGTGCAGTTCAGAGACTGTCACGTCTCAAGTGGCCAAGGGACTGCACCCCTGCCGGACCCCAATGGCGGCCTGATCAGGGAGCCACGTCTGCCCGCGTGTTTTCTCAACAAGCTAATGCTGACCCACCACGGCCTCAGGCTCAGGGACGTGACCAGAGTTTGCTACCAGGACCGGGGGTGTTAAAACGTTCTTGGAAAATGACATGAAGGGACAGATTTATTGGGGCACCACCTGCAGCTCTGGCACCCCATCTGGCCAGAGGAGGAAAGCGGACTTGCCAGCCCCATGCGACAGGACTGCCGGAAGCCGCAGGCAGGGCCACCTACCGGCCAGGAGCGGCATGACAGCCAGTTGCAGGGAGAAGGCGCTCTGCCGCCAGGGGCCCAGCAGCTTCCGGCCTTCCTCCTCCACCCCGGGCTGGGTCTTCCTCTTTGGACTTTTCTTATGTCCTTCGGAATCCTTCCCTTTAGCTGCAAAATCAAAGAGCAGACATAAACATTCAGGAGAGATGGGATCCAAGCCACCCATTGCAAACTAGGTGCTTGAGGAACCTGGGGAAAGTTCCAGAAGCCCTGAGAAGGCAGCAGTTGTTCTTGTGCTGCGGCACATTCCCAGCAAACAGAGGAAGTAGAAGTTTCAGATTATGGAGCTGGTGTTATGGCACAGCAGGTAAAGCTGCCACCTGTGCCATCAGCATTCCACGTGGACATCGGTTCAAGTCCCAGCTGTTCCACTTCCCATCCAGCTCTCTGCTACATCCTGGGAAAGCAGTGGAGGACGGCTCAAAACCTTGGGATTCTGCACCTGTGTGGGGACCCGGAAGAGGCTCTGGGCAAACCCAGCTCAGTTGGCCACTGCGGCCGTACGCAGAGTAACCAGCAGACGGAAGACCTCTTTGCCTCACCTTTTCTCTCAGATAAAAAAAAAAAAAAAAACACAGGTGCAGAAAAAAAGCAAGTCACCCACAGAGACTCCAGAAGCAGCAGGGCCCCCGACACTCACACACAGCTTGTGGGCTGTTCCCGGCCACATGTCACTGAACCACCAAGTTCACAGAGATTCCTGTGCGTGCCCGTCTCCTCCAGCCTCGCACTCTGAGCTGGCATCCCTGCTTGCTCCCTCCTCTTCACACCCAGGCAGGTGGGCCCCTCACCCTACTTAGAACACGGCCTGGCACCAACAAATTAGCGTGGGTTGATCAGGGTGCAAAGAAGACGTTCCACATGATAGGAACTGCCCACAGCTCCTTGAAGAACCTTCTGGCAGCAGCACAGGTGGGTCCCCGAAATAAAACCCTGAGAGCAGAGCGAGTTGCAGGAAGGGACACAACAGGCAAAATCATTTCTGCAACTCACAAGGGTGAAAGTCAGTGCGGGGCCAGATAACCATCCAAGAGGACGGGGCCAGGCACACTCCGCACGAGTGGATGCTCACACTCCCTGGCGGACAGCAGAGGGGCCCGCACAGATGCACTGCCTGGTGCTTCTCGCAAGAACAGAAGAGAAATGCGAACTAGAAATACCAAGGCTTCAGCAGTAAGCACACGTAGTCAGCCCATTTTTCCCTGAACTCCAAGGTTGACTGGGCTGACGTGTTGCTGAGGTAGAGGCCGTTCACTAGAAAAGCAGAAAACTCAGAGGAGCTCAGGGCTGCCAGATGTGCCGGTGTGGACTGACGTGTCAAGCCTTTAAAAATGGACAAGGGCTCTAACACTGTGGTGCAGTGCGTTAGGCTGCCGCTGTGATTCTGGCATGCCCTAGGAGGGTCCATTTGAGTCCCGGCTGCCCCCTGCTGGTGCACCTGGGAAAGCAACAGATGGCCCAGGCGCTTGGGCCTCTGCAACTTCGTGGGGGTTGTGGATGGAACGCCCAAGTTCAGCCTGGCCCAGCCGTGGAGTGAACCAGACATGGAAGCTCTCTCTCCCCGGTCTCTGCCCCTCTGTCCTCCTCCCTCCCTCCCAGGTCTTGGTGAAACTCTTTGAAATAACTAAATAACTCCTGACTGAGCTGTCTTCCCTAGCATCTCTAGCACCCCTTTGCCCGGGCGGTCAGTCCTCTCGACGACCCTCGCCTACTCATCCAGCGGCAGCTCAGGCTCAGAAATAAACTCACTGAGAGCACAGGAAGTGTCTGCAGCGGCTTCAGCTTTACGTAACACAGCCCTCCAAGGAGGGTGCAGCTACAACCTCTGGTTCTAGAACTATCACCTCATACCAGAAACCCGGGCACTCAGTGACACAATGGGGAATGGAGGAAGACCAAACTCGAGTGCCCCATGGAGACACTTGTCTCTGGACAGCCTGTGACCGAGGTCGCACAGTTCTGCCCGACTAGGTCCCATGACGTGGGCTGCCCAATCCCTCATTCCACCAGAGGAAGCCAACAGTTTACCATCTTTCAAGGAGGAGCCTTCCATAGCCCTCTCAAGAAAATAAGATTTATTTCTTTTTACTGGAAAGGAAGATCAGATTTCCTGAGAGAAGGAGAGACAGAAACATGTTCCACCCACTGGTTCACTCCCCAAGTAATGGTAATGGCTGGAGCTGAGCTAATCTGAAACCAGGAGCCAGAAGCTTCCTCTGGGTCTCTTATATGGTGCAGCATCCCAAGGCTTTGGGCCATCCTCGACTTCTTTCTCAGGCCACAAGCAGGGAGCCGGATGAGAAGTAGGGCCGCCAGGATTAGAACCTGTGCCAATAATGGGATCCCAGCGCTTGCAAGGAGAGGATTTAGCCCCTGAGCCAATGTGCCAGGCCCTATAGCCCTTACTCTCTCATGATTCCAATGTTATACTGTCTGCTGCATCGGAGCATCCATCACCAGAACTGTAACTCCTTATCTGAAAGTTTCTGCTAGCTATTTTTACACTCTCACCTACAAAATAGCATGGGTCAAGAGTCCCAGCACTCCAGCAGATGGGAGGAGACAGGCAAGGGAAATGCATGGCATCATGAGGGTGAGTGAGTGGAAGATGAAGGGAATGAAGGATGAGATGAAGAGCAAAGGATGAGGTGGACGAGGTGGACAGACAGCTGGCGGGATGGACAGACGTGAGAGGCGGCGACGAGATGGACAGACGGCTGAGACGGATGGAGGGATGAGGACAAGGACGGATGCATGGACAACAACAGATGGAGGGATGAGATGAGGGAAGGATGAAGGGAAGAAGGGAAGGATGAGACGGGGAAGAGGGAGACGGGTGGGGGATGACATGGCTGTGTTGAGAGACGAGAGAAGGGATCACACGTGGACAGATGTCACAGAGGGATGATGGGTGAACGTGTGTCCAGCACTTACTCTCAGGTAACATTTGGTCAAGTCTCCAAGAATCTTCTCGCATCCTCCTGAACGTGAAGCGCCCCGTTGCTCTCCAGGGCTAGCCGAGGGAGAAGCTGCAAGGCCACCGTGGACTTACCTTGCCATTTCTGCCTGTCTAAGTTGCTGAATGATGATCTCTCGATTATGTCATTGATTTCCAGCATGGTCGCCTCGGCCAAGGGCGTCGTTTGCACTCTTGAATTATTCCCCCTGGAAAAGTCACAAAATCCCTATTTTCCCATCATGGCCTTGTTCACCAACTCTTTGAAGATCCGCCCCTCTCCTGACTGTGCAGGCATTTTGAAATACTTTGCACAAAAGTTAACTCATCTGGTGATGCTATTTTCCAACGGACTCGCCCTTCCGCCCACATCCTCACCCAAGCACAGGGTCGTACCTTGGGGCTGACTTCTCTTGTTCCTCGCTACTCTTGGGAGAAGTTTCAGTGTCTGTCTGGCGAGAATCTGAAAATATCAGTAATGTCTCCAAAAATCCTCCTTCGATGAAGTTCACTCAGAAATGGGCCCCCCACCCCGGTCCTGCCCACCTCTGTCGCGCCTGTCTCTGCAGGGGCCTGGTGCATCATGTGACAAGCGTTTGGTATCAGAGTCTTGTTCCCAGGGAGGGAGACAGGGACGGGTACACAAACCAGGGAGGGAGGCAGGGACGGGTACACAGACCCGCTGCATCTGCCCGGAAGGAGGCAAGAGCAGCTTCCGCTCCTGCACAGAGCCCCGAGCGAGAAAGCAAGACCGTCTGCAACCTCCGGGACGGTCCTCCAAGTGTCAGCACGCAAGACCCTGAAACCACTCCCAAGTTTTCCGGGTACCCAACGGCAGGGGGTGCTTGAGGAGACAGCCTATCAGCAGACGAAACATACAAACTAAGGACAGAGAGACCGCAAAATCCATACGACGGCACAGGGACGATTTTAGGATACGTAATCCACAAAGGGTCACAGAACAAAGGCAAAGAAACACCTGTGGACAATACGGTAACCAGGATGCACTGAGCCAGGATGGAAGGGGGGATTAACCCTCCTGTGATCTGAGCCCCTTCTGTCTCTATCGCATTTTGTAGACACCTCACACACGTTGCTTCTTCTGTCAGAAACAGCTTCTCTATCTTACAACACAAAGAAAAGTCCACAAAGAGCTGAGTGCCCAGCACAAAGCGAGCTCACAGGGCAGCGTGGCACAGGCTGGGAGGGAGGAGGTGGCACATCATCACGCCAGCCAGGGCAGGGCAGTGACCTGAGAGCTCTGAGCCACAGCCCCTGCCAGCCACGCAACAGCAGCCCACAAAGGCTGTGTCCACTCACTGTGTCGGTGTGAGTGCGGGTGCTTGGAGTGCTTCTCCGCCTTGTCGGGCTTCTCCGCCTTGTCCTGCTTCTCCGCCTTGTCCTGCTTCTCCGCCTTGTCAGGCTTCTCCGCCGGCTCCTCCTGGTCCCACTCCACTTTGACTGCGTTGGCTTTCTCCAAGTCCAGCTCAGACAGGCTCCTCTGACTTAAAACCAAACGTCGCACTTCCTCTAGGAGGCAGAAAGGATGACTAACTCAGCAGGTCAGAAACACCTCAGCCCTCCCCTGGCGACGACGGCTTCCTCCACCGAGGCCTTGGATCTGTGTTCGGTCCCACACATGCCATGGCGGGGGTGTGGAGCCATCCTGCTCTTCTTGCTCTTTTTAAACCTTCCCGGGGCATGCATGGAGCCAAGCGGTGATGAAGCCCTCATTCTACTCCGGAGTCCCAGGTGGGATTGGGGCACCTCATCCTGGCTTTCTGCTATCACTCAAGTACACTAGACGGCCACATGGAATTTCTGGTTTCCGCCCAGACTTGGGCTGCTGTGGCCATGTAGGGAGTGGACAGTGGGTGGGAACTCTCTGGCTGCTGCACATAAATCAAAAATGTATGTCAATGTTAAATACAAACAGTAGCCCAAGAGAGTAGATGCAGAAGAATCTGGATGCAGAGAAGGGGCAAGACACAGCTGGGAGAAGGTGAACCCAAAAGGAGGACACACAGGCGGGGTCACCAGCTGTCAGGTGGGGGTGCCCAGTCCTGACACCACACAAGGGGGCAACACTGATGTCACCTTTTTCCACCACTGAAAATCAAGCAGATGGGTGGACGGAAGAGAAAAGGTCCCTCTGGTTGGGATGTTCTGGTCAAGGCCAGCAGGTGGGAAGCCACCAGCCTGGACCAGCAAGCCACCTGCGTGCTGACACATGGGCACATGGGGCAGATGGCACCCCAGCACTTGTCCTTCTCCATTACTATAAATGATGGTTTTGTGTGGGAAGAATTCTCTCCACATTTCGTTTTCATTGTATTTGTATTTCATTGAGAGGCACAGTTAGATAGAGATGGTCTTTTGTCCACTGGTTCATTCCCCAAATGACCACAACGGCTGGGACTGGTCCAGACAGACACCAGGGACCTGAGCTCCACCTGGGCCCTCCACGTGGGTGCAGGTGCCCAAGGACTTGGGTCATCTTCTAGCTGTTTTGCTAGGTGCAGAGCAGGGAGCTAGATTGCAAGCCGAGAGCTGAGACTCCACCCAGCACATGGTGGGATGTCACAGCCAGCTGCTTTACCCGCAGCACTGGGAGTGCCGCTCCCTATGGTCGTGTTTGCTGCTCTCCCCCCACAGGGGAGCACACATGACCTTCTGACATTCAATACCGTATTTCCACAAACACCACAAATGTCATCACAACATCTTGGGGAGGTGGCTTTTTTTTTTTTTTTTTTTTTTTGTCTTTTGAATCTTGGCATCCTCTTAGTTCCAGCAAGCAGGCTGCCGGCAGATGACTGTGTCATAGCCTCCAGCCAGGGACACAGACCGTGCCTACCCAGGTCTATCACTCCCCAGCAGCATGGCAGGATACCCAGGCACACCCTGGAGGGAGGCAGCGCCCGAGATGAATGCCATGTGTGCCCCAGGAAGCCGCACTGGAGCAAGCAAGGCAGTACCAGCTCCCACTCCTGCTGGCATGGCTGGGGACCAGAATTCTCTATTGGGGCGATCTGGAGGACATTCGCATATAGACACTGAGGTCCCCCGGGGACTGGATGGACATCTAAACACAGACTCACAGACGTTTCACGCACGGTATTTTCAGCGAGCCTGGGTTTTGACCGTGACCCACGGTCAAGTGTGGCGTTCTGCACCTGGGCACCATGTCTACGCCCAGACAGGCTTGAGGTCCTGGGGTATTTCAGACTGCGGCTCAGGAAGCTCCCTGGCTCCCGCCAAGTTTCCAGAAACGTCGTCAACAAAGCCAGAACGTCCAACGTACCGACAGACGCCACGTCGTCCAGAGAGCCGGCAGTCTTCAGCCCGTACCTGATCTTCCTGGGGACCCTGTCCTTGGTGTTCCACAGCTTCAGGGTTATTTTGTGGGCACATATTTTCTTCAGCAATTCCTTGGTGACGTTGATGTTAAACGTCTGAGTCCACGACACCCAGACTCTGTCTCCTTCTTCCCACAGCTTCACAATCTGTGCAGAACAGGGTTCAGAGGTGTGAGCTACCGTGTGTGAGTGTGTGAGTATGTGTGTGTGGAAGGAGGGCTCTGTCAGCCCATGCTGCTTCAGTCGTGGAGTCAGTGCTCTGTCCCACACCCTTGCATCCATCTGACCTTAAACCTGGCAGAAAGAATCCAACCAAAGCCATCAGCGCCCAGCAGTGGCTGCTCCGGAACCACCAAGCCAGCCTCTGCAGGCAACAAGTGCACACGCGTACACACATGGACACAAGCACGTGCGTGCTGTGGGAGATCGCCCCTGGATCTCTGTGTGGGAGAGCATAAGCGTGCAACACACCGTGTCCCCGGGGAAACCCCCGATGATGGTGTCAGCGAACCAAGAGCTCAGCCTGGCCTGGTCACTGGTCAAGCAGGCAAGAGCAGTGGGCTGCACCCATCTCTTCTCCGTCCCTGGACCAGCTGTGCTGGGACTTCCTTCATAAGCAACTCTGAGAGTCAGCTGCAACCCACAGCCTGTCTGCCAGCCACTCACAGTGAATGTGACCTGATCTGTGACTTGGTTGGAGGGTCCACAGACAGACATGCCTTCCAGCCAGTTACAATGTCATTGCTGGGTGGCAGGACTGTCAGGGAACACCCTTCTGCCTTCCCCTCTCCTAGTCTATATAAATTTGTGTCATTTTGCAATAAACGGACATGCTCAATTACGCTGTCTCCGGTGGCTCCTGTGGCCAAACAACACCATCACCTCAACCTCTCAGTGGTTTTGGGGACCTGCTGGCAGGAAAAGCCACCAAGACACACATGCTGACACACGTGCATAAGTTCACACACACACACGTGTGTGTACCACATCCGAGTGAAAAGCTGGCACACACGGTGAGGGCAGAGGCCCACGCAGGGGCCTGAGTGGTACCCAGGAGCCTGACTTTCTAGAACACCCCAGATGGAAGCACAAGTGGCAGATCCCCAGAGTACACACTGCGCCTAGGTGTCAGACCCCACACGCACACACACCTTCACTCCTGACTCCAGGAATACTTTGGCCATGGCCGGAAAAATCACCACGTCGACTTTCCTGGGTTCAGTGTCATCGGGCAGCAGGTAGTACTCGATGTGGCAGAAGCGATGAGCCCTCACGGCAGAGGTTTCCAGCCGGGGATGTTTCCTGTATTTTTCAATCAGCTTCGTGTATTTTACTCGATGACCTAGAAGTAAAGATTGACAAAGTTCGCTTCAACTTCGTAGGGAAAAGTCCCTATTTCCCTCTGCACAAACAGGATGAGCTCTAAGACACTAGAGATTTTCTCTCTCTCTTTTTAAAAGATTTTATTTATTTTATTGGAAAGGCAGATGTACAGAGAAAAAGAGAGAGAGGAAGATCTTCCATGCGATGACTCACTCCCCAAGTGGCCGGCCGCAACAGTTGGTGCTGCGCCAATCTGAAGCCAGGAGCCAGGAATTTCTTCCAGGTCCCCCATGAGGGTGCAGGGTCCCAAGGCTTTGGGCCGTCCTTGACTGCTTTCCCAGGCCACAAGCAGGGAGCTGGATGGGAAATGAAGCTGCCGGGATTAGAACCGGCGTCCATATGGGATCATGGCATGTTCAAGGTGAGGAGCTTAAACCATTATGCTATCACGCCAGGCCCAAAGTTTGAGATTTTCACCCCCGCAAGCCTCTGCTGCACTAACTGTGCCAGCAAGAGCATCTGTACAGTGTGGTTTGATTAAACTTCTCAGGAATCATTAGAACTTTCCTGGTGTTTAGCTCTGTGGCTTAGCAGGTAAACTCACTGCCTTTAGCACTGGCATTCCATACGGACAGGGGTTCAAGTCCCAGTTGCTCAAGTTCCTATCCAGCTCCCTGATAATGACCCGGGAAAGAAGCATGAGATGGTCCAACTGCTCAGGACTCTGCATCCATGTGGGAGACCAGGAAAAAGCTCCTGGCTTTGCCACAGCCCAGCCCTAACCATGACAGCCATTCGGGCAATCGGCCAGAATGTGGAAGACCTGGCAATCTCACACTCTCCCCCTCTCTAACTCTGCCTTTCAAATAAATAAAACAGAAATTTAAAAACAACGAACCCCCATACACACAAAAAAATTCCTCCAGTTGGCTTGTTAAAGAAAGGTGGGCCCAGTGTGGTGGCCTAGCAGCTAAAGTCCTAGTCTTGCTAGAACCGGGACCCCATATGGGCACCAGTTCGAGTCCTGGCTGCCCCACTTCCAATCCAGCTCCCTGCTTGTGGCCTGGGAAGGCAGCAGAGGACGGCCCAAGAAGACCCAGAAGAAGCTCCTGGCTCTGGATCGGCGCAGCTCCAGCCATTGCAGCCACTTGGACATTGAAGCAGCAAATGGAAAATCTTCCTCTGAGTCACTCCTCCTCTCTGTATATCTGAATTTCCAATAAAAACAAAATCTTCAAAAAAAAGTGTCACATGCCCAATGAAGAAAATACTTAACATATTAAAAAAGAAGAGAGCACATGGGCTGCCGTGCCAGGAGGCAGAGGACAGCCACACGAGCAGCGACGTGAGCAGCTTGCACAGCCAGGCCAGCGGAGTCCCGTCGGGAGGAGTGGGCTTGGGTCTTTTTCCCGGCACTTCACAGCCACAGCTTTTTTATTTCACGACTTAATTATTTGAAAGGCAGACTTAGAAAGACAGGGAGATCCTCTATCCATTCCCCAAATGGCTGCAACGTCCGGGGCTGGGGAGCCAACAGCTCTACTGAGGTCTCCCATGGGTGGCATACACCCAAGTCCTCGAGCCAGGAGTGCTAGCAGGAGCTGGGTGCAGCAGCCAGCCGCAGCCAGCCTCGAACCAGCGTGGAGAAGACCGAGCAGGCGAAGCCCACAGCTGGGACCTCTAAGCCTTGTTTCCATTTTCCAATTTAACTGACTTCTCCAAGGGGCAGAGCTCGCATCAGCTGTTCACTCCCGAGGGGCACGGCCTGAGCCAGGATCCCAAGTCCACCACACTGGTGGCAAGAATCCCAGAAGCCCATCACTGCTGCCTTCCAGAAACTCCGAGGGGCACAGGGTAGGATCTGAGCTGGCAGCCAAACACCTTCCCCGTGGGGGTTTCCTTCCTCGCCTCTGCACCGCCTCCCCCCAGCCCCGCAGCGGCCACAGGTGCCAGCATCTCCTAGGAGAAGGGCCTCGATGCCTCCCCCCCCCCCCGGGCAGCAGGCGCCCTGGCACCTACTCAGCTGTGGCGGGAAGGCCAGGGAGACAATCAGCTTCCAAGGCACGACGTGGGGCACGTCGGAGCGGAAGCAGTTCGGGGCCACGTCCGAGTATTCGCTGCCCTCCTGGCGCCCCAAGTCCAACTCCTTCGCCCGGGCCGAGGCCTTCAGGTCCGCGTCCACGTCAAAGTTGTAGGAGCTGGCGATGGAGTAGGCGGGCTCCGTGCTCCCCCTGTCTTCATACTCCTTGTCCCACGCCTGCACCGACATCCTCTCCCTCCTCGGACCGGGCTGCCGGGAGCCCCACCTGCTGGCTGTGCGGAGACCAAGGCTTTCATCCCCTGTGCTCCCAAAAGAGGGTCTCCCCGAGAAAGGCGCCCTCGGCCCCTCTCCTCCTCCCCTTCCCTGGGCAAGGCCTGAGCTCCGCACACACTGGGCTCCCCGGCTTAGGGCACCCGCACAGAGGACAGGCTCAGCTGCTCCTCCTCTCCCAGCCCCGGGCCCCAGGTGGGCGCAGCTCCCGGACAGCCCAGGAGGGCGAGGAAAGGAGGCCTGCCCAGGGGCAGAGGGCTGTGCCCAGGCGGCCACCACGGGCGTCTGCGCCTCCGGGGAGCCAGGGCCCTGCACGCCCCAGAGCCCGGTGAGGCCGAGGCGGCGGAACCCGGGCAAGACGGGACAGGGTGCTGGGGACCGAGCTGGGGGTCAGTGGAGGCGGACCCCGGCTCAGGCCGAGAAGGGGGGCTGCACGGGCGGCCAGGTCGGGTGTGAAGGGACTCCAGTCGCCCACGTTACCTGCGAGTGGGCGGCAGCCGGGCTCCTCAACCAGCCCAGGCGCGGACGCCTACACCAGTAGCGCATCCAGGGTAAACGGTTACCCTCGGCGGCCCCCTAGCAACTGGGCGCTGTTAGTGTTGCTAGGAGAGAGGCGTGGCTGCGGCCGGGGAGGGGGCGAGCTTCTTGCTCCGAGGCTGCGCCCGACACTTTATCAAATAAACGGCCTCCGATTTGAAGCGCGTTTCCTTTACTCATCCAATCAGCGGTTCGCTCTCTAAGCAGCTCCTATTCTTGCTCGTCACCTGTAGCTTATATACATGGTCAACAGCATCGCTTCCGCTCAGCAGATGCACCTGTGTGACTCCTCGGAACTCCTGGGCTACCTTCAGCAAGGAAGGTCCGCTCACAAGATGCGCATGCCCCAACGAGCACCTTCGTGCACACGTGGGCTCCATCCACGCATCCAGGCACCTCCTTTCTGTCCAGGTGAGGCTGCCTTCCTGGTCTCGGTCTCTCTGTCTCTCTCTCGGTCTCTCAGTCTCTCTCTCGGTCTCTCTCTCTCTCTCTCTCTCTCTCTCTCTCTCTCTCTCTCTCTCTCTCTCTCTCTCTCCCGGGCATCCTCCTCTCAGCCACAGGTCCCTGACTGCCACTAAATACACAAGTTGCTCTTCTGACCCTGGGCACCCCCAGACCCACGACCATCACCCCTCTGTCACACAGGACAAGCTGGGGCAGGCCTGATTCCCAGACACCTCAAGGATTTGTGCCTTAGGGATTGTGGTTTTTCCATGTCAAGGATGACAGGAATACAGTTTTTTCCAAAAGGAAAAATGAAAAGCCAAGTGGAGACAGATATATTCCAAACTGCAGGAATATCCACACAGCCCTGGTAACTCAGAGACACAGATGAAAAGCCAGGCGAACACAGAGAAATTCCTCACACACAGAGGAACTGTGAGAAGGAAGATGATGGGCGTGCAGAGAGCAGCAGTGCCCACTGGGGAGTCCTCCCCAGCGAGCCCCCAACACCCTCCCCGCTCCCCAGCCTCTGCCCAGCGTGGCTCTACACCCTACTGGACGGCGCCAGGCAGCTGGTCTACCTTCCACGAATCGGAACGTGCAGGAGGACAGATCGCCCACTGTGGGACTGAGTGGCTTATCTTTTTATGACTGAGTCGTAAGAGTTTATCGCCAACCCCAACACAAGTCCTTATAGGCCCCAGAGCTTGAAACGGTTAAGTGACACAGACTAAGATCTATCCATCCACTGGCTCGCTCCCCAAGTGGCCACAATGGACAGGCTGAAGCCAGGGGGCTGGAACCTGCGCCATAAGGGACACCAGCATTGCAAATGGTGGCTTCACTCGCTGTGCCACTCCGCTGGCTCCGTCTTTTCATTTTATGATAGCGTCTTCTCCAGCATAGAAGTCTCAAATTTGGGTGGGGGGAATCCCAGTGCCTATAAAACTGTATCACATAATACAATGTTAATAACAATTAAAAAATCAATTTATATAAAAAAAGTCTCAAATTTGGTTAAGATCTGACAATATCTGCTTCCTTCTTTTTCAGAACATACGTTTGCTATTGTTATCTAAGAAACCTTTGTGAAACCTAGGCCCGTTGTAAAAGGAAGAAGTTAAAAAAAAAAAAAAAAGTGGTGTCTACACAGAAAGCAAAATCCACGGACCAAGGCTCCCCGACAGTAAGACTGGATCAAGGATATTCCCAGACACTTCCAGGGACTGCACAGAACAGGACAGCTTTCAGGAAAACCTGACAGTTTGGAGCGCCTGCGAAGGGTCGCTGCTCCTGGAGGAACCCCAAATCCCTGGGGACACAGAGCCCCTTCCACAGTCTGGCTTAAGGGGCCAGGTGAGGACGCCCTCATCTCGGCACCTCCCGCTCCTGCCAGCAGAGGGCGCCACGGGCTGAGGAGGGAGGCGGCTCCGGCCCGGGCTGGGAGGGCCCGCGTCAGGTTCCTGGGGCGCAACTGAGGAACCCAGAAACCTGCCCGGTTCGCGGGTTACGGCAGAGCCCGTCCTGTACCCTCCTCCCGAGGAAGACACGGAACATGCTGTCCACCTAAAAAGCTCCTTCTTGCCTCAGTGCATGGGAAAAGTCTAAATGAAAATGTCAGAAGGGCGCGGTCGAGGTCTCTTGATGACAACAAGGTGGATTTTTTCCCCTTCTTTTTTTCAGTCATTTCCCGGCGCCTGGGAACGATTCTGCGCTGGAGAAGGCTCCAGCGGGGCCGACCCGGCCTGGACCAAGCGTCCCTTGGCTGCGGCGGGAGGCAGGGGGCGCGGGGGCTGGACAAGCCGCTTCCCAGCTCCCAGGCCTAACAAAGGCGCGCCAGGAGACCCCCTGACTCGGCGCGCTTGGCACCTCCAACAAAAACCTCGTGGATCCCAGCCGGATGCTTTCCCGGGCGCCTGGTAACGGGCCGGCGCGCCATGCCGGGCCCCTCGCGGCGCCACCGCGAAAGGCGTCCCCGTGGCCGAGCGGCTGCGGCGCCGAGGGCTCCTTCGCGAACGCCGCTCCCGCTGCGTGGGCGCAGGGGCGCACACCCTGGCCCGAGGGGCGAGCGCACCGACCCGCGGCGCGAGGATCTGGCGGGGTGGCGGGGACTCCCAGGCCGCCTCCCTCGGCCTCCGCTGCACGGCCACCCGGGGAAACAGAGGCTTGGTGCGCGGCCAGCACAGCTGCAGGCCACTGGCCCCGGCGTCGCTCCAACCCGCTCGCGGCCGCCAAGCCCCTCCTCCCGAGAAGCTGCGGGGGCCGGCGCTGGAAGTGGCGGGCGGAGGGCCCCGAGCAGGGCAGGGCGGTGCGGCGCCGGAGCCCGGCATGGAGGGCACGGCGGGGGACCCATACCGGCGGCCAGCGCGGCGCACGCAGTGGCTGCTGAGCGCCCTGGCGCACCACTACGGGCTGGACCGCGGCGTGGAGAACGAGATCGTGGTGCTGGCCACGGGCCTGGACCAGTACCTGCAGGAAGTCTTCCACCACCTGGACTGTCGCGGCGCCGGCCGCCTGCCCCGCGCCGACTTCCGAGCGCTCTGCGCGGTGCTGGGGCTGCGCGCCGAGGGGCCGGGGGCCGGCGGGGGAGCCGCGGAGGCTGTGGCCGCCGGAGATGCGAGCCCCGGGGGCGTGAGCCCTGGGGACGGGGACGCGGATGTGGACGAGGAGGCACGGCTGGCGCTGTGTGCCGAGCCGCCCGAACTCACCTTCCGCCAGTTCCACGCGCGCCTCTGCGGCTACTTCGGCGCCCGCGCGGGACCCCGGCTGCCCCGAGGCGCCTTAAGTGAGCACATAGAGACGCAGATCCGCCTGCGCCGCCCGCGCCGCCGCCGCCGCCCGTCCCGCGAGCCGGGCCCCGATGGCGGCCCCGGAGGCGACGCGGACGGCGAGCGCGTGGCGCGGCTGGAGGAGGAAAACAGCAGCCTGCGCGAGCTGGTGGAGGACCTGCGCGCCGCGCTGCAGAGCAGCGATGCGCGCTGCCTGGCGCTCCAGGTGTGTGTCGCTGGCTGCGAGGGTCGGTCAGGGTAAAGCCGGGGACAGGGGAGAAGGGCTGCATCTAGAAGGGCCAGCTGGCTGTGCAGCCCAGACCGGCGAAGGTTGAACAGGGGAGGTAGAGCTCAGCTGCCCTCCACCGTCCCAACCCACCTGCACCTGCTTGTCTTTGTCACCCGTGCACACACACAGCCGCCATCCTCCCATCTTGTCTTGCCCCTCCCGAACTAGAGCCCGGCGCTATGGGGTGGAGTCCTCCACAGATCCCGTCATATAGCAAGCACCCTTCCTGCGGGTCCTCTGGAAGGTTTAGGGCAAGGCTGAAGATGACCCAGTTCCTGCCTCAAGTGTCTGCTCATGTGTTGGGGTCAGGAACAGCTCCTTCCCTCACGCAGCAAATAGTTACGGGACTGCCGTGGGGGCAGAGCTACAGCCCGAGTGGGACGCAGACAGCGTGGCCAACGCTGTGGAGCGGGCAGTCACGGCCGCCAGGGGCGAGCCCTGGGGAGCAGTCATGGACACAGTTCCAACCCCAGCATCTGGGATAGATCCACACACGTTGGAGTTCTTGCCCAGCCATGTGCCAGGGGCAGTGCTTTGGCCAAGGGTTGCGGGAGGAAACCAACAGCCCCAAGGTGGGGAGGGAGTTGGCAGGATGTTAGCCCCCAACCTTAGCCCAGAGGGTGTGAGGTGTGGTCTTCATGGCAGTGAGTGTGGAAGGGAAAGTTAGGTACAGGAGGTCTCGGCTGAGTCAACGGAGGCCAGAAAGTAGTGCCTGAGAAGGAAGACCAGGCGACCCTTCTCAGCGTTTACTCAGCATCTACCGTGTGTCCAGCCTGTTTCAGGCATGAGGCACCCCTGGCAGAAAGCCTCCAGGACACAGGGCTGGCAATGTCTGACGCTTGGCATGCTCCTCCAGCCCGAGTCTGACCGGCCAGGGCAGTTGAACGCCCATGTGCAGGCCGGTCGACGTACGAATAGAGTGGGCTTTGCGTGTTTCCCTCGTCCTAAAAAGGCGCCCGGGGTCTCCTAGGGCTGTTACCAGGGTTCCCTGAATGGGACCAGTGGGCCCCTCCTGCACCTCCTGCAGTTCCACGCACTGGTGCGCCATCACCTTGCAGCTTTGCTAACGCACCCCTGTCGCTCACCTTCCGCCCTCTGCCGCCCTGTCTCCACAGGTCGGCCTCTGGAAGAGTCAATCGGGTGGCCACGAAGAGGGGCTCGGAGAGCCGGAGGCAGCAGCGGTGCGGGAGCTGCAGCAGGTGCGGGGCGCCCTGGCAGCGGCCGAGGCCCGTGCGGGACGGCTGCGCCGGGGCCAGGCCGAGGTGCGGAGGCGTGCGGAGGAGGCCCGGCGGGCGGTGCTGCGCAGCCTGCGCCGGGTGCGGGAGCTGGAGGCGGTGGCGCAGCAAGTACCCGGCCTGCAGCGCTGGGGGCAGCGGCTAGAGGCGGAGCTGCGGCGCTACAGGTGAGCGCGGCTGCCAGGGGTCCCCACTCCAGTTCTCACATTCCACGGGTGTGCTCTCCCACACCCACACAATCCCGTGCCCAGCCGTGTGTTCACCAGTTCGCATCCCAGTGCTTCTTCCAGCCCCCCCAAGCCATTCCTCAACCCTATTTCTTGTTCTCGGTCCAACCCACCATCTCTTCTCTCCACCCACGCACAAATTGCATGCTTCTTTGCACTTGAATTTGATTCTGACCATCATGGTCATGTGCAGGCTCTGAGCTTTACAGGCTAACCACATTTAATCCTGGCCACGCCCTGGCCGGTGGGTGCTGTCATGTTCCCTCTGATAGCTGCGAGGAAGCAGGTTTGCACTGGACACCTGATGCTGGCTCCCTCTGGCTGGGATGCTGGCCCTGGGCCCATGGTTCACCTCCTGGCAGGGTCTCTGCCACGTAACTCTGGGCAAGTCGTCAGCCCTCTTGGCCTCTGCTCTGGAGCAGAACTGATTGCTGCCCTTGCCAGCACAGGGCCCTGAGACAGCCAGAACCCCCAAATCCAAGCACAGGCAGTGAGCCCGTGGGGCCTCCCCATGAGCCAGCACAAGTCAGGCACAAGGCAGGCGGGTGAGAGCTCACTGGCAAGGGCTGGGGTGAGGGAGTGGGTAAGTGGGACCCTCATACTGCTCAGCCTGCCCATGAAGAAGCCGCTGGCGCCGAGAGCTGGGGACAGGAGGTCACCAGGTGAAAGAAGCTGGAGGGGAACATTCTAGAATATGGGGATGGTGGATAAACGAGATCAGGACCTGTAGGGAGGCAAAGACCAGGCCGTTTAGGGCCCAGGAAGAGGGCAGCAGGGAGACCAGTCGTCCCCTTAGAGAAGCGGAGGCCAGGGGAAAGCTAGAAAGGGGAGAGGGAGATTTGCATCTCAATGAAGAGTGACCCGGCTCCCGCTGTGGTGACAGAGCGGTGGGGGAAGGGGAGGAGCCCGCCAGGGGCCTCTGCCAGCTGGAGAGGGTGGGGCGGCTGGAGCACGGCTCCTGGGAGGAGGGCTCTGGCCCTGGTGAGGTGCTCCCAGCTGGCAGATGACAGGGCGGCCGGCCTCCTGCCTCTGCAGATGTTTGGACAGTGACTTCCTGTTTGCACAGCTGGCCGGCCAAGGAGCGCCTGGCTCGAAAGCCTTCTCGGGAGGAGGAATAAAGGGGCTCCTCCCTCTGAGACCCTCACATCCCTCTGGGTCCCTTGCAGCCTCGTTGGAGGAGCAGCTAGACCCTGGGCAGGGCATGTGGATGCTGCTCCATCCCCCAGGTCCTAGAAGGCCCAGCAGAAAGCTGGATCGGACGTGGACGCAGGACCCAGCCTTCCCCGCCTGGGCTGTGCTCTGGGCCCCCCCGGAAGTGGCACCGCTGCCTCCGACAGCCAGTCTCTGAGTTGCACTCCCTCATGTGGGACAAGAAGCAGCTGCTAGGCCTCATCAGACAGTCCCTCCCTGGACATGTCTGTGTGCACGCAGACTACTCATGATGGGCTGGGGGTCTGCAGTTAAGTAACAGCTCGCAAAATCTGTCACTCAGAAATGAACCCCGCTCGCCCACGACCTTCCCCTGGCTTATCGCCGTCAGCCCCAGCCACTTTCCACTTTTCTCTGTTTTCTACCCATTCTTCCTTCCAATTAGCCAAGTCTCCTTAAAGTGCTGTAAAGCTTACGTCAAGCTGGCTTTGGTCAAAACAAAACACTTGTCTTAAAGCTAGCAGGTCTACCCATGGCCAGCTTCAGGCCTGGCTGGGTCCAGGGACTGCACTGTCTCCAGGAAGTGTAGCATCTCTTGTTTTAGGCAGGCTCTCTCCCAGTGGTCCCAGGGGCGGGGGGCTACAGGTGCTCAGCTGACCTCTGCGAAGCTCAGTCTGGGGCAAAGGTCCCCTCCTGCCTGAGCCATCATTGGATCAATCAGAAACACATCATCCCTAAAACCATCATGGGGCCAGCCTTAGGCACAACCCCACCCCTGGAGATTCAGGGGGTGTTTCCTGGGTGTGATCAGATACACTCTCCTGCTGTTCCATGGGGGCTGGCAGCTCCTCTTGTCTCAGGCCCCGCCCACCCAAGGCAGCCCAGCGGTGTTTGGATCCTAAAGGACCAGGGAGGGGGCCTGTCAGGGCCGGTGGGGCCTGACTCCACATTTGCTTTTTGGCTGCTGAAGGCTTCAGGGTTTGGGAGCCAGTCTCCTCACCAGGCCTCATTGTTCAGGTGCTTGAATGAATGAGTCCTCAGAAAGGACCCGTGTGTGGGTTCCTGAGTGGTCCAATGGCCTGGGAGGTTCATTTGGTTTGGAAAAATGATAATTACATTTGTTTTGACAGAGATCTGTCCACTGGTTCACTCCCAAGATTCCCACACCAGCCAGGACTGGGTCAGGCTCAGAGCCAGGAGCCCAGCAGTCAGTGTGGGTCTCTCACATGCATGGCAGGGCCCCACGTGCTCAGGCTGTCCTCTGCTGCCCTCCCAGGGCCCATTAGCAGGAAGCCATGTCAGAAGTAGCAGAAACAAAGTTGAACAGAATCATCCCAATAAGGGAATGTCGGTACCCCAAGTGACAGCACTACGTCCAGTGCCCACCCATGCTTCTTGGAAGGTGGTATGTGGCCTGGGCAGAAGGGCTCTGGGGGGACTCCTGGCATCTCCCTAGTCTTTCATTTGCCTGGCACAGCCTCCCCAGCTCTATAGCCAGAGACCAGCCGAATCTTCTTGGCAGGATCCCCAGGGCACCTGAGCAGCAGGCAGCAGGGCCTGGGGCTCCAGCAGCCAGAGGGAAAAAGACCAAAATGCAAGCTTAGCTTGGTTGGGGTGGAGGCAGGCGCCAGCCTGGCCTGGATGGCTTTGTTGTGGGAAGGATAAAAAGTCTGGGAGGGAGAAAGGGAGGGAAGGAGGCTCGCGGGAGGCCCACTCTTTCTGCTGACCACCTCGGAGGGGACACAAAGACCCGGCAGCCCAAGGGCCCCCTCCTTTCTTCTGCCTTATTGCTAGGGCTTAGCCTGGCCCCCAGGGGCTGGGAGTTAGCAGGTCAGGAGGCAGGGGCGGGGGAGGGAAGAGGAGTGGCCAACAGCGGGAAGGGGGTGGAGCACCATTTGGAGTTCCGTTACCCTTGGAGACGGGGCATGTGGGTGGCCAGTGGTAGGAACGGGAGGCCCATTTCCCAGGGACAATACCCAGAGCTCACTAAAGGCAGGGCTGCTGGACACCTGCCCCAGGCCCTAAAAGCTTGGGATGCAAAGACAGCTCCACACACTGGGCTCTAGGCTCAGGAGACCCAGTCCAACAGGACTGGAATCCTTTTGGGGCACTAGGGTGAGCTACAGCCACATCTGTCAGGTGGGCAGGGACTCTGCAGCCTGTTCTGTATAACCCCGGTGATGGGGGAGGGGCACCAGGACTGCAGCAAGCCAGGCTCGCCTCTGTGAGCCCTGATGTTCATCTGTGAAATGGGCTAATGTGAACATGTTCATCTGTGAAATGGGCTGATTCGACACTAACGCATAGAAAGGATGCACGCTACCCAGCACTGAGAAAACACCTGTTAGACTCTGGAATTGTCACCACTCACGTCTCATCTCACTTCCCACCAACAGGGGACCCTATAAACCAGTCATGCTGGTGAGACCCAGCCTCCTGGGTGCCAGAGGAAGCAAATGGACAGCTTCATTTGAGGGTGGCAGAGCCCTAACAGAGAGCCACATTGTAGGCAAGTACAGAGAGCTGGCTGGGCGAGTGGGGTGTTGACGTGTGAGGGAGAGTTTCCTCAGGCAGTACACAGCCAGGTTCCTATGAGTACAAAGGCTCAAAAGTGGGAGAGGTCTTAGCATCTCCTTGGACAGGCCAGGGGCCCTGGGAAAGGGAGTTGGGAGTTCCTGGGGATCCCACCAGGGCACCTGGAGTCTTGATTGGGGGTGATTGTCCCTCCTACTCACCAGCCGTGTTGCGCTGTGATCGCTAAATGCCAGTTATCAGGGACCATTGCTCCAGAGAGCCCCACCCTCTTGTGACAGTGGGCGGTCACCAGATGGTCAGTCCAGCCACACCTAGGCAGAATAACATTTTGCAGGCAGCAGGCAAGACCACTGAGCGGTCAGAAGTGTTCTAGTTGGAAGGCTCGGAGCACCCAGCCTTGTTGGGTGGGTCTGCCCTCTGCTGGGAGCAGGAAGTGTGGCTGTGAACTTAGTGCTGTCTTCCACAGGTCACCCCAAGTAGATGGCCCGCTCAAGTTTGCAAGAGGAGGTGGGAGGTGGCGGGGGGGGGCTTTTCTTGTCTATCCAGGAAAGTAAACCTACGCAGAAGCCCCTAGCAGATGTCCATGTAAGGGCCAGAGCTGGGTGGCCAAGGACCATGTGGCCCCAGAGAAAGTTACCTTAGTGAGCACAGAACCCCCACTGACTGGCCCATGGCCCCCAAATGGACCCTCTGTCCACACACCGGCCAGGGGAACCCTGACTACACAAGTCCCTTTGTGTAGCAGGTGTGCCCCTTGGAGAAGGAGGGGGCCCAGAGAAGGACAGTGAGTGGCCCATGGTCACTCAGGAAGTCAGGGACACAGCCCAGGCTGTATTCCATCTTGTACAAGTCCACAGACCCGCAGGGCTCTCTGCTGTTTTCCACGGAGGCGGGGTGCAGGAGGGTCTAGAAGTAAGTGGCAGCCCTGCCAGGCTTCAGACAGTCCCACAGGGTCCAGGCTGGCCTGAAGCGCTGGGGCAGTCATCGTTGGCCATGCGTCTGCTCTGAGATGCCTGGCCACCCCTCCCTTGGGAAGCTTTCACGTGACCTCTCTGCTCACCTGCGAGGACCGTTCATGGGTCTGCCACACACTCCATGAAGCCAACTCGGGCCCGGAGTCATCAACAGCACCCCCCCGCGTGTCTGCTAGCTGCAGCTGGAAACATGGCTGCAGGGACCCCCACTACAGCATTTTGCAAACCCTGTGGCACAACACATGACTCCCCAGTACCTGTGGCCCTACCTGTAACAAAGGG